AATATATTGTTAATACTTTATATAATAGAATTTTAAAAGTCTGCTAATACTTAGTGAAAAGATCATTTAATATTAGTAAAAAAATAAAATGGATTTTCAATTTGTAATATTGTGAACCCCTTGCTTTTTTATTATTACATTGTGAAAAACATACTGTGGTGTCTCTTGTATGTTTCATGTATATTATTTTTTAATTGATGATTCATGAATAAATGAGAGAATTTTAAGTAGGATCAGCAGGGCAAAAATGTAAAAAATTTGCCAATTGACAATGTTCAACAAATAATAAAGCACAATATTTTTGTATTACATTTAAATATTTATTTAAACTTTGAATTTTTCTTTACTTCCAAAAAAAACAAGTTAACTATCTAACATATAAAAATAACAAAATATTGTAATAACATCATAATAAATAAAATCGAAATATTTAAACAAACCCTTTTGTCTTTTACACATTTTATTTCTTTAAATTAATTATTTTGCAAGTGGCTTCACTTCGTGAATAAATTAATTCTTTTTATTTTCTCTTGAAAATATCCATCACCTTAAACTTCCTAAGGGGTGCCTTAGTGAAGATAACTAATTAAACAGATCCAAAACTTATATATTGCTAGCATTTTATTATTTGGATTTTTATCCAAAAAACTTTATGCAAATCATAGAAGCAGTCTTTATAGGCTAAAGACATAGAAGACTTCACATTTTAAAGACTGGTTTATTAATTTGAAACCTTAAGAATTGTTCCTCTGTAAAAGAGATTGAGCTCAGGGTTGGCTGGTTTGTTAATTCGAAATATTACGTCTTTTTTTTTGAAATCATAAAAGATCATCATAAAATGAAAATTCATTCTTAAATAAGATATTAGCAGGGGATGCGCAGTGAGCTATGAAATTTTTATGAAACTTTATTATTATTAAATATATAATTTAAGTTCGAGATGTTAATTAAATTAGTGATGTTAGCTGGCTAAGAACTTGAATAAATTTTTTATGTAATAATTTAGTAGACAAATATCATACTTTGTATAAATTCACTAAAAAATCGGGGTTTTTTATTATTTTACCAGTGTGTGAAATTGTTTGCGGGCGCGTGTGTTACATTAAAGGTAGCCAATAATCTTTTAGCAGGATTTGTGCAGAAAATTCGTGTAACAAAATTGAAAAAAATTAATTTTTATTATTACGAATATACTTTTATTGATGTTTTTAGGTATAATTCTATTTTTATTGATACAAAATAAACAAAACATAATTTTATTTATTATATTAGAATAATTCCATTCATTAATAACCAAAAAAAAAATAATTTTATTTATTATACTAGAATAATTCCATTTTTGTTAACAGTAAATCATTGATGGTTTCAGGTATAATTTTATTTTTATTGATAACCAAAAATAAACAAATATACTTTTATTATTATGCTAGAATAAATCCATTTTGATGTTTATTGATTAAA